GACATGAATATCCCACGGACAGAATGACATACCCTTATGAACAAACACTAATTGTCCTTCCTCAATGTGAGCTTGGGTAAAATTAAGGATACTTTTGTTTGGTGACGACTTGAGAGCCAAGTGGCCATTGTTTGGAGGAGAAACCGAATACACAAGTTCTGCAGAAATTGAATCTTTATCTTCTGCGCAGAGATCGTTCATTGTTATTTCAGTCACCGAACCCACCCAGACCTTTAAAAGAAAAGGGAAAGTGTTACAGAAAAATAATTATGTTTCTCTGAAGTTGTTAAAATAGAAGAAATAGTAACTAAATGGAGTACTGAGACAACCAGGTGTCAAACACAAAGGTAAGAATGAAGATGAATCTACTATTAGATCTTTGAGTCATTTGGGATAGATTTGCAAGGATTTTGAACTCACAGCTGTTTAACACTAGAATATGGTTTTTGTCCCTAAAAGGCTGCTGAAATTTATTTAATTATTTACTGTATCTAACTATGTATATATTGCGTTTCTCACCCCGGGGGACTCAAAGCGGTTTACAACATAACTAATGGCAAACATTAAATGCCAACATACAGTAAATAAATAATAATTACTACATATACCTATGAACTTAAAATCAATTAAAACCATTGAGCATAAGACATATATAAAATTTAAACATTTAGGCAAGCATAACATCATCCTAGTATAAACATTAAAATCCCATGATCCAGAGATGAAATGAAGAAAGCTTGGGCTAACCACAAGTGGACTTTTGGATGAAAGGACAGTGCCCCCAGTTCAGTTCTGATAAATTAATTCCTTGGCTCAAAATGTGCCTAGAAGCATCCTATTCTTTAAATTTTGTGTGGGTGGTGGATCCTAGTAAAGAAACAAAATAGACTGAACAAGCTTGAAGTCTACTCAGCTCTGGTTTAGCACTGAAAATCATTAAGGACTACAGAGACTTCAAACAGACATCAAACAACATCCTGCATGAATTAGTATTTGAAGAAATAGGACAAGACATTGTATAGCCTGGAAGCATATGAATGCTTATGAAAGCATTTTGTATGATTAATTCTAGAGGCAACTAAAGAGCTGTCTCATCTCAATCGCATTCCCAACAGTAGCAGTGTTTCATTGTAGTCTTGAACAGCAGACAGATCTGTGACTGCAAGGAATGGGGCAATAAATGCGTCAGCTGATGTTGAAGCCCAGCACTTCATAGATTGGGTCAAAAGAAAGGCGCCAGGCTAAATGGTTTGGAAGGAGGCCAAAAGTAATAATACCTTGGGTATCCTATTGCCATTTGCAGATGGCGGCACGATACATATTAAAAACACATGTTTACATTCTAATAAAACAGTTGGTCTTAAAAGTGCCAAAAGACCCTCTTGATTTTGTGGCCACAGAATGATAATACAGTTACCCTACTTGGCCAGAATTTTCTGGCTAATTTTTACTCAAAACCTCCCAGCCTCTTTTGAACTGATTCACTTGGGACAGGCTCCATGCAGTCATGCTGGCCACATGACCTTGGAAGTATCTACAGACATCAGCTCTTTGGCTTAGAAATGGAAATGAGCACCACCCCCCCGAGTCGGACACAACTAGACTTAATGTCAGGGGAAACCTTTACAGAGTATACATGGGCGCTGTGTCCATGGATTCAACCATCCATGGCTGGAAAATATTTTTAAAATTCCAAAAAGCAAACTTTTGTCTCACCATTGTATATAAGAGGTTAATTACTACACCATTGTGCATAATGGAACTTGAGCATCCACGGGTTTCAGTATCTCTGGAGGATGCTGGAACCAAATCCCAATGGATACCAAGGGCCCACTTTATGTTGTGTTTGTTTCCATATCTATGTTTTTTCAAAGATTTCAGTGTAAGCTAGATTCATTTCTCCCGCTCATCAGTAAAAATAACTTCAGCAATCTGGATCATTTTAGGTGAATAGAGAAGTTTCCACAAAAATGAACACATGGCCCCCTGGTGGTTATATTTCTATAATACAAGAGAAACCTTAGCAGGAAAAAATATATATTGTTGCTAGTTTATAGCAATATAGAAGAGAAATTTTACTGATATGTGAAGAGGTACCTATTTTGACTGCCCAAGATTGGAATCACACTTTGATCAAGTAAGATATTGTGTTCTGCAAATAGTACTCTTCTGTTAATTGGTTATGTTATTGCCAATTCATTTTGTAAAAACATGTTTTATAGCATAATTCACTGTAACTTTGTAATAATAATGATGGTCATTTAAATATAAACTTCCAAACAAACTTGTTTCCTAGTTTTGTATTAAAAGCATACACATGCACTAGTTTGAACTCCTGAAGATCAGTTTATATTGGAAATAGCAACCTTCTCAAGCCTCCACTAGTTGTTTGTTAGGTATATTCAGATTGCGTACTGTATTGTATATGTGTATTGGCTTGCAATTTTACCTAATCTCTTTGTTGTGGGAGGGGCTGCAGACCACATGATCAGAACTGAGTATGTTCAGGACTCTGACTCCATTTTAGATCAGCAGATGCCTTTAGACCTCAGTAAGAACAGTTTGCTTTGAAAAGCCATGCAAAGAGCTGTGTTTGTTTCCATCAGAAGCCATTAGACTCTTAGAGAGAGTAGAAGTGAACAGTATGCTTAGAGACTTATTAGACTCTCAAAACAGAGAGAAGCTACTTAAAATTCCATTATAACTGGATTCATAAGCAAAGTGCCTGTATACTGTATACATTAAATTTTGTGAGTAATCCAACTATGTTACTTTTAAACAAGACTGTTTATGTTGTCTCTTGAGAGCATGATTTAAAGGCAAATCTATTTTAAGGGAGACTAGATGTTTTTGGGCAACTTCAAAGAACACTTCTTTCATTGTTTTTGTGCATTGACATGTTTTTGGACCCATCCAGACAGAACCTTTATTGCAGTATCTTCCACAATAAAGGAGGAGCTGTCCAGAAAATGTTCTGGACAGTCCCGGATTAATTTGCTACAAACCAGGAAAACCCTGGTTTGCAGGTAATCAATTAGATAGTGGGTTTATTCTGTACCTTCTTGGAAGGTGCGGGATAAATCCACTATTTCTGGTTCTGGACTGCAGAATACAAGCTGGCCAAGGCTTGTAATGGAGACCGGGTGAGTTTTTATTACTTTTCTAAAGGGTCTGGAGGATAGGGCCTCCAGATGTTCTCTCAGGCTAGTCCTGAGAGAACATCTGAACCCCCACCCCAGAAAACGTGTGCTTTCTGGGGTGGATGTGGACAGGCCCCAGGAAAATCAGACACAGATTCTCCTGGGATGAAGGCCTATCTGGACCCAGCCTTTGTCTCTGACAGTTCAGTTTAACATATCAGTTTAACAGCTAAGAGACCTAGTTGCCTTCCATGAAAGCTGGTTAAGATGATTTTCTGAAAAGGTTGTGACTTCTAACAAGATTGTGCCTTTTCTGTGACCAGTGGTTTCCAAAGAGGTTATGAATCCCATTTCCCAAATGGTTATGGAGATTCACATTTTCCAAAAGTTTACAGATATTATATTCATGCAAAGAACACAAACCCAAAGACATATATGAGAAACCATTAGGAATGGGAATAGAATATTATCTCTAAGAATTTCACAGACATGAAGATCACAAAATTTAGAGTCCGAAAACATGCATTACTTACCCGAAGTATATTGTTTCTCTTTATAATAGGAGCTTCATCATTTACTGGTGTAACAACCACATATATCTTTTGAGGCAGGCTTTGTTTTTGCAGTTCCGAGCTGTTTGCTAAGATGGTAAAACTGTCAAAATGTTGTTCACTGTTATCATGAATATATAAAATTAATCCTTGTTTTACCTAAAAAAGGGGAGTAACCAAATTATGAATTTACAGTGTTCCTAAAAATTAAGATATTCAACAGTCACATCAGCTCAGCAACATATCATTCTGGGCCTGTTTCATTTCCATTATTACATACAATTATGGAAAACAATTCCAATTTTTAAAACAAGAAAATCTTATAATCAGAGGCAATGTAATGAGATAAGAAGAATCCCCCCCAAAAAATTATGTACATTCACCCCTTACATTTGCTAGGGTTAGGTGCTCAGTGAAAACCCATGAAAGTGAAAACCTACAAATTAAAAAAACACTTTTTTTTAAACTCAAGGCAACACTTCTTTAGGAATCTCCAGATCCTCCAGCATGACTCCATGGTAATGTCTCCCAAAAGTTGATCTTAGAATTACTCTGAAGGACCTAGAAACTCCAAATAGTGTTCTCTCTAGATAGTTTAGGTCCTCCAGTATAACTCTGTATTCGATTTTTAGAGAAAACATTTTTACCAAAAATCATAAATAACCAAATCTGCAAAAATTGCAGTTGTAGAGGGTTAACTGTAATGATTTCCAAACAATAATTTGAATTATGCCAAGACTCAAAATACTACTATGCAGAATGCAATGTGGAACATCCTTACCTGTTTCCTTGTAAATTTAGTTAATGCCACTCCAGGAAAGTGAGACATTGCAATACGCCCATATTTTGGTCCTTCAATTAAATTGAATTCACAATCGAGCCCCTCAAAATGGCTATTAGCAATTTTAAGAAAAGCTTCCTCCAGAGTTATTGATCCCCCTTCAGCAACTGTAAAGTTACACACTTCCAATGGGATGAGCTTTGGGATAATGTCTACCATGATTTTTATCCCACTGACTGCCTGGATACCGTTAGTCACATCCAAGGAAAACAGGTCTTGATGTTGATCAGAAGAGGTCTGCACATACTGGATGTTACCATCATTGATATCTTGCTGGGTAAAGGACAAAACTGGATTATCTTCTGGTTCAAAGTAGGCTTCCTCTGATGTAAACCTCCGAAGGTATCCATAAAGTGGAGGTGATGTTACTTTGAACTCTATCTCTGATGGCATACTGTTTTCATGTACAACCTTAAAAAGTAAATGCACAAGCCATTAAAACACATGCGCAGATTTATAACAAATAAAGTGCAGGATATTCATTCAGTGACAGAGCAGTGATGAAATAGGCACTTGTGATTTTAGATATAACTTTTTGTGTTGTGTGTCTTCAAAGATATGTTTAGAAGGCATTTGTCATTGCCTTCCTCTGGCACTGAAAAGGATAGTTTGCCCAACATCAACCAATGGGTCTCCATGGCTGAGTGGGGTTTTCAACCCTCATCTTCTAACACCAAATCCTTGCCTAAAGAGCATATTAAAATACAGGGACAAATAAAGCAGAGTCACCTTGCAACTAAAAGTATGGTTGGTTTCACAGCAGAAGCTCTGCTTCCACCTGTTGATCCAGAACAAAGCAAACCATGAAACTCTGGAGTAACTCTGATATATACTGAAGTGTGGATAACTGGATTGGGCCAGATCCTGGACAATCTGTGTCCACACTTCAAAACTACTTAATGCCAGCAGCAACTCCAGACAGTTTCCTAGCAGAACCTTGCCCGTGACATCATTTTTGAGATCATATGTCTGGGTACCCAGTTTTGATATCAGGAGAAATGATGTTGTCAACTAAAAAGCCGTGGCAGCAGTGGCCCACAAGAGGACGGGACACCGGTGCTGATGTACTGTTGGCCCGGATGGCTGTCTGGACTTCTAAAAAGGCTTTGAGGTGCTTCCACAACAATAAATGCAGACTCCCAGTGGATCCAGTAAGTGTGGATCCATTAGAGTGGATCTGGGAATATGTTTATAGTACACAAAAATATATTCAAAACAAAGTGTTGTTGATTATTAAACTACTTCAGCTTACCAGCAATTTTCCTTTATTGATTTTAACTGGTTTTCCTTCTTCAACCAACAGGCTGCTATTATGTACAATCACTGGTGGACGCTGATGACTTTCCAAGAATATACGAACATTCATTACAGCATCCAGCTGGACTCCTTTAGCATAAACGGTAAAATTAAACATGTCAGTCAAATGGTTACTATCATCATGCCTGTAAGTCACGTATCCGACTTTGAGATCATGCAGAGTGAATTTGCTCAGTGCTAAATTATTTACCAAGATTTGTCCATACTTTGGAGATGAAATAATTTGGAATGCAATTTCATGATCACTTCTAATGTCTTGGTTTGTGGTAGCACTCAGGTTAGCTGTAGTGATTGTTCCCACTCTTCCTTTCTGAATCAATAATCCTGTGTTGTTTCCTAGATGGACATAAGGGTCTGAAGCACTTATTTCCAGCAATGAAGAGGTATAGTGCTTCCCATCAGTGACAAAAAGCACAAAGCGGCCATAGTTTGCTCCACGGTGTACAAACAGGACTCGCATTTGTGCCAGGTCTTCTTGCTTGAACTGATACAGTCTGTGAGAGGTTTCATTGACAAGAACCAAGTCTCCATTTGGAATGCCACGCCTGGTATACAACAATTGCATATCATCAAAATCAATATCAGGGTCATGGTAACAGAGATCAGCCAATGTCAACAGTTTCCTTCCATTCTTAACAACATGAAAGACCTTATCTACTACACGTACAGGTTTCTCATCATTTTTCAGTTGGATAGAAATGTTAAATGTGATCTCTGCTGATAAAGATGGTTTTGTTCCCATGGCAGAGCTTACCCATTCCTCAGATTTTATGGCAGTAGCTGTGATACCGATTTCATCATACTGTGTCTCAGAGTCATCATGCACATACAAAAGACGCTTGTCAATTATATCCTGGTTTGTGAAACTAGTAAGATTATTGTTACTTTCTGGAGAATCAGAAAAATTAATAAGTGACAACTTTCCATRGGAAGGGMTCTTGGTAACTTTATACTGRAAARTCTTATTATCAATAGTTCGTGCAAATAATTCCARTTCTGTTATCAGTTTTCCTTCACCCTCAGTAATAGTRAGGCCAGTGTTTGTCAACAGAATGCTCCATGGGTCTGTTTTAATGCTGATKTYGAAATCAAAGTTATCTGAGACCACATATTTTGTAAAAATTAGAAACTGAAATGAATCCTGGGTTTCYCCAYGAGGTCTACTGAGCAACTGATATTCTACTTTATTGTCAGAAATATTTTGCTGGCTAAAGCTTGAATTTATWTCCAAAGGGACATTATTAAGGAGAATGTTTCCTTTCTCAGGCAAGGACTGTAACTTATAATACAATTCACTTTGYRGTWCTTCAACATCTGATATCACWGTAAGAAGATGACTGGAGTTCAGGTATTTTCGTTCTAATTTATCAATTTCTAATGGCACATTTCTCAAGAAGTTATATCTCAACCATTTCACAGTGATAGGAAACACAAACTCTTCACTTATTGTGCTGCCAATGCTAACTTTAAATTTAAAGTGCTCCAGGACATTATCCAGCTGCATGGCTTTGAAAGTAGAAGCATATCTTACTCGGCCACGTTCAATGGAGCGTTGAGAAAAAGAGTTTGTCTTCTTCCATTCCCCACCATTATGGCGCCTCTGGATTTCCCCAAAGCCGGGTGGCTCTGTGATTTCATATCGTATCTCCAACTCTTGTTGGACAATATTTATCTCGGTGGCCAAATGACTGAGACTGATCAGGGCCACATTTCCTTGAAGCACCTCAACTCCAGTGTTGTTAACTAATTTATAATCCAAGGCTATAGCTACGACCCGCAACACAACTGTATTGCTAACTTCCTCTCCATCACTTGCTCGTAGAACAATTCTGGAATTCTTAACCCCAGTATGAACAAAAAATATATGGCCATCTTGTAAGTCGCTGTAAGAAAAATCAGTAATAGCACTTCCAGGATTTTTGGAATTTTCTAAAAATCCTGCATCTGCATTCAAATTTCCAAGGACCATAATACCAAGATCTGCTGCACTTGAGTCACTGTCTAAAACAGTGATTGTGTCTATAGTCAGGCGTTTCTTGGAGTATTCTAAAAGAAACAACAAATTCCCATTTGGGAGTGTAAGTACCGGAGCATCATTTATTGGTTTCACTGTAATGGTAAACATGTAGTCCTTGTTTCCTTTCAAATATGGTGGCATCTCCTTTTTGCTGCTTGTAGAAATGGAGAAGGTGAAATAATCATAGCTTTCCTCTGAGCCATCGTGGACATACAGAACTCTGCCTTGCCACAAGTCTAGCATGGTAAATGTGGACTCCTCCTGCTCTGGCTCGACATCCAACCTCAATTGGCCATGGGAAGGCTGATTTTTAATTTTAAAAACAATTTGTGACTGGCGAATGCCTAGTTTCTTGAATTCCAGATTGAGTTTAATGTGCTTAGAGTCAAGAGCTGCTTGCCCACCTTCAGGAACAATCAAGTTGTTGACAATCAAAAACTGGTAATGACTCTCTTTCCCATGGAATTTGGAAACTTCAGAGACAATAGTGGAAACAGGAGCTGCTGTTCCCACAGGTGCGACAATAGGATTTGGAGCAAAGTCACCTTCTCTTTGGCATCCAACTGAAATATCCTTGGTGATGAGGACATTCTTCAAGGACTTCCTTTGTGAGTCAATTTTCAAATCTTTCAAGCAACCTCTGAATGATCCTACTTGAGCATATCTCCCAGAAACTGAAGCTAACCCTAGTTTCAGCACTTCTGCCCGGACAACATCACTTATTCCACCTATATAAAGAGCCTCCTTTAGAACTGGAAGTTTATTCTGCGAGGGCAAAGGTCTTTTCACTGTTTCCCTTTCCAGTGTAAACTCAATATGTTTTGCAGAAAATGTTAGTTTGACTGAGTGCCAGTGGTTATCGTTGACTGGGCTAAGAGAAGAAAACTGAATTCTGTCCTTCCCCTTTCCTATATGAATTTTAATGAGTCCGTTTTCAATTTCCATTGCAACAAAGTCTCCCCCTGGACCAGAACTGTAGATCAACAAGCCCCTCTGAGCTGTGGTTTGCACCATGCACTCCAGGACTCCTCCTGCCTGGACATCCCACAAAGGAAAAGAAACATATGACTTTGAGCTAAAGAAACTAATGGGTTCCTCTTCACTTGCAAAAAATTCATCGCTGCAGCTCAATGACACCTCATGAATGTTTTTAAATCTAGGAGAAGGTCTCAGAGATGTTAGGATGTCATGGCTGTTATATATCACATCGTTAATACATCCCCTGAAGTTAGTTTGAGCACCATCAAGGTAAGGGGCATCAAGGTTTCCATTCCCACCAATATAGAGACCACGTTCAAAGTGTAATTCAGGAAAAGCTCCTGGCAATTTTGTGCTAGCTTGATACTTTTTGTCAACAACTAGAGATATTGTATCTCCTTCAGAATGCACTTCTACAAGATGCCATGCTAAATCATTCATTTGAGGACTCCATCTGGGAACAAGGACCCATTCGCTTGCTCCAACATTGATTCTGACCTGCAAAAAAAAAAAAGATAAAATAAAATAAAAATGAGGCAAGATATAAATTAAAAACAAGATAGTTGAATTAATTGCACACTTAGAATATTTCCCCACAACCACTGTAATTGGAAACCGGAGGAACCCTAAATTCAAATTATATAGGACTGGGTGACACTGAATGGAATATGCATGGCTAGTTCACATGTAAAGGCAAGCCATGGTTTAGTACTATGAAAAAAAGTCCATGGTATACTTGGGCTTGTATATCTCCTCTATGGGCCTTTTGCTCCTATTCCCATGTTTCTAGCTCTAAATGGGGCTTTCTGCCAAGTAGCAAGTCCACCACCACTCACTGGGCAGGCCCTCTAACTCTAGAATATATCCTGAGAGATGCTGTAGGTATCACATTCAAAGAGCAAGAATATTAGACTGGAATTAAGACCTCTTGGAACTGGTGTGGGAAGGCGAGGTAAAGAGGACAATAGAAAAACCGATTTTCCAGAGGCTTTTGAGAGTATTCTTGGCCATTTTGAAGGTATAATAGCAATTGGAATGTCCTCCACACACTTTGATTGTATGTGAAAATAGGTGATCTTTGTCCATCACTCTTACATTTGACCAAACTATGGTTTCCAATTGTATCTGCATTTAGCAACTTGCTGCAACAGCTCCCACTGCCATTGCTTGGATGGGACACTCCTAGAAGACTTGTGGATGCTAACCATAGTGATTTCAAACAATTTTGGATCAAACCAAAATTTCAACACCTAGTTTGTGAACTAACCATAGTTAGACTCAACAACAACTATGAGAAAATTTGGTTTATTCAATAGAAAAGGGATATTTTTCAGTCTTCTCTATCTGTGTACAAAGGAAAGCAAGCAAGGAAGCCTAGGAGTAGCCATCATCCATTCTTCTCACGCTAAACCACAATTCAGCATTTGGTTTGAGCCGATTGGTGTCATAAAGGAATACACTACTTTAAAAAGGTTTTAAAACTTGAGATTTAAAAAGGTAGAATGGTAGGATATAAATATTTTATATTAATCAATAATAAATATATAAAGAAAGGATGTTTAAATTGCATTTACAGCAGTTTTAGATTAAGTGACTAGATTATTACCGTATGCACTTAAAACACTTAGTGACCAGTGCATCTCATAACCTAATCTAAAACTCTAACTGCAAACTGAACATTGACTTCTTTATAATTTATGCATGTCTTATTATCCAGCTACTGTCATTGAAATACTATAACTGTATGTTATTAGCACTCAAGCAATTCTGTATCTTTTAGTTTTTTATTTCAGTATTTGTTTTTAAAATGCTTTGGAATGCAGTATTGAGCTAAGAAGATAAATCTTACAATTCATTTCAATACGTTGTAGCTTTGTATGTTCATAAGCTTACCTGTACATTTCCAGAACATAATTCCACCAGAAAAAGAACTTCTTTTCCTGCAGCCAGAAAAAGCAATCCATCTGGCTTACTGGTGAGAAAACGTAATTTCAGTGATGTTGTCGGGGAGGATTCAGCAACATTTAACTGCACATAGCTTTCACCATAAAATGATGCTACAAATAAATAACAAAGCAAGTTACTATAAGTCTGTTTGTGTAAAATGGCTCTTTAACATTAGATGATTTATCTTGAACTAAGAATGTGCCAACATAAGAATTACCACAATTTTCCTCCAAGGGCAGCAAGATTTACTATGGGCTGAATTTACCATCAATGGAACTGTCAAAATGTTTTTTCCCACCTAAAACCCTCTATGCTCTTCCCATAAATTCAGAAGGTCTACCTACCCTTATCTTTCAAAGGGTTTATGGTAGCTGCAGTGGATGACTCACACTATGCCTGGTTCCACTGGAATTTTCTGTTCTACCTGTGGAAGCCTATCACTGGATCCTGTACTCTGAGATTTAAAATATAATGGCTATACTTCAAATGTGGATCACTGAAGTCCTAAAATGCTTTTGGCCTTCATTGCATGCAACTTCCTACCTATTACTTTGTTCCATGTCTCACTACTACACAATTATCAGGTCAAGGGTTGGCCTTTTTAATTCAATCATGCCTGTTTTGGAATGCCCTCACCCGAGGAACTAGGGCTGAATCTACACTGTAGAATATGTATTTATTTATATTGTATCAGGAGTGAACCAAGGGTAAAGTTGTAATGTATTTAAAAATACACACATAGTTTAAACACTTGGCATTATATTAGATGCGAGTGTGGAGAAGAGCAAACCACAAACCACCTACCACAATGCGGTATAGGCCCTGCCACATGCACAATGGAGGTCCTTCTTATAGCAACACCAGTTTCTGGTCAAAGGATTGTAGAATTAGTGCAGTCTGACACCACTTTAATGGCTATAGATCAAATCAATGAATAATGGGAGCTGTAGTTTGGTGAGGCGCCAGTGCTTTTTGGAAGAGAAGGTAAAAGGTCTTGTAGTAAAACGACAACTTCCATGTTTCCAGAGCACTGAGAAAAGGCAGTTAAATTGTTTCAAGTTACATTAATTCTGCAATGCAGATGCACCCTAGGTATGGCTGCCATATTTTTGGCATTCTGGTTAAAATCTTGCTGTTCTGTCATCGTGTCTTTTTTGTGAATATATGTATATTTCTTTTCCCCTAAGACTGTTGACCTGATGTTTCCTTTTGTTGATCAGACTCTATTTTAAATGGCTACATTAATGTAGACTCTGCAACTTTGAATCATTCATTTTACTAAAATATTCTGGCTTTCTTATCTTAAATTTCACAACTTTGGAAATTCACATAAGAGAGCAGAAAAAGAATGCAATATTTTCTGAAGAAAGAGGATATAATAGTGGTAACTTGAAGCATTTAAAAGTTTACCTATGGTTACATTTTCCTTTTAGAAAGAAAGAAATCTTGACCAAAACTCTACTGTGCTATCAAACAATGTTATAGGAACCAGGACTGTGGAGTTGGTGATAGCAACTCATAGGCGGGGACAAGAGCCAGGGCCTTCTCAGTGTTGCCCCACCACCACCACCACCACCACCTGTGCAACTTGCTTCCCAGCAAGATAAGGTCAACTCCATCACTCCTGTCTTTCAGGAAGAAATTGAAATCTTGGTTCTGGGACCAGGCTTTTGGACAGCAGCCATAACAACACTTTGGATGTGGACTGGACTGGAATTTTTATATGGCTGATTATAGTGTTTTTAAATTGTTTTTAATTAATGTTTTATCTATTGTTATAAATTGTTATGTTGTTGTATTTACTATATGTTGCGGCATCAAATTGTTGCCCAGTGTAAGCCATCCTGAGTCCCCCTCCGGGGGTTGAGAAGGGCAGAATAGAAATGCTGGAAATAAATAAATAAATAATAAATGTGGAGCAATTTTTGGTGGAGCCAAGAGTCAATAGAAATGTTCCAACTCTGGCCTGAATTTTTTTTTAAAAAAAACTGTAATGCCAAATGCCTAGTTGATTGCATATTTACTTTAATAGGATTCTAGTTCAGAAATTTCAATCAAATACAGATTTTTATTTTATTTTATTGTATCAGAAGTGAACCAAGGGTACAGTTGTAATGTATTTAAAAAGCACAAAGTTTAAAAACTGGGCATTATATTAAATGTTCTTTGACTAGAAGCTGGTGTTGGTCCTCCATTGTGCACGTGGCTCAGACTGCATTGTAATAGGTGGTCTGTGGTTTGCTCTTCTCCATATTCACATTTTGTGGACTCCACTTTGTAGCCCCATTTCTTAAGGTTAGTTCTGTGTCTCGTAGTGCCAGAGCACAGTCTGTTCAGTGCCTTCCAAGTCACCGAGTCTTTTGTGTGCCCAAGGGGGAGTCTCTCATTCACGAGCAGCTATGGTTTGTGGTTCCGGGTTTTAGCCTGCCATTTTTGGACTCTCACTTGCTGAGGTGTTCCTGCAAGTATCTCTGTAGATCTTAGAACACTATTTCTTCATTTAAGGCATTGGTGTGTTGGCTGATTTCCAAACAGGAGATTGGCCAGAGATGTCACTGCCTTGGTCCTTTCATGAGGCATGAGAGAAGTCTCCCTGAAAGGACTGCAAGACATCCGGGCGTCCCCTAGGCAATGTCTTTGTAGACGGCTGATTCTCTCACACCAGAAGTGACCAGAAGCAACTTGCAGCATGCAAATACAGACTGAGCACCCCTTATCTGAAAAGCTTGGTACCAGAAATTTTTTAGATTTGAGATTTGGGGATATCCTGATGATCCACATAGTGGTGAGTGAACATTTTGTGCTACCATTTTACTACAGCAAATATAAGTTGGAATCAGAGTTGAAGAATAGAAAAGTGAAGTAGCAGGGTAAAAGTTTTGTTGACCTATTCCACAGCAATGGTTGGAACGCTGAAATCTGCTCAAGTGGGAAACAAAATATGCTAGGAAGGAGCTGGGCTTATAATATTTATTTATGTATATACATACACATACGTAACATATTTTGTATCTATGTCTATACCAAAACTGAATCATAGGATAAGTATTGCTTAAGCTGGCTGCCGCACTGACGATGCTCATTAGTTCCAGGATGAGTAGATGTTTTGTTTTTATTACCAGTAGGACTTACTGATTAAAAACCTACTATCGTGTTAATTAATGGGATGGGAGGAGGGAGGATCCTGAACTAAATGAATTCCCCCCTCTTCTGCAATCTTGTTGTGGGTGGATGTGTAATGATTTTTGACTGTTGAGAAGAAAAGATATAAACAACCCCTACCTGGCATGTTGATAAGGGTGGGACCACACCTCTCATGCACTCACCCCACTTTTAATACATATGTACAGAACATTTGCTTTGTCCCTCAGTGTGCTTGTGTAGCAGTTTTCTACTTTTTGCTTTGAATTAATTTCCTTACAGCTCAACAGCAATCAGAAAAATGATCTACTTCTCAATACAACACACACATTTCCAAAACACTGTTGTGATTATAATTCATATTCACAGTTTATCCATCTATATTCAAAGCTTGCTAATTACCTTTTACACGCCTTTTTTGACCAAATTACCTTCCCAAAATTAGGGCACCTTTAGATTCGTGTAATATGATTTTTTAGGGGGGGGGGTTCAGAGTTGTGAAAATTGAGGTGCGCATTAGATTCGATGGCACATTAGACTTGAGTAAATACAGTAACAGTATTTAAACTTCCTTATATCAGACAGATGAAGAAGCACTAACTAACTACTATACATGCCAACTCTCCCTCAAGAGTGCATCTACATTGCAAATTTAATGAAGTTTGACGGCACTTACATCTTGAATCTCATTATTACATCTTGATTCTCATGATTCGGAAATCTGATTTTGCACATTCTTTTGCCAAGAATGGAAAAATGCTCCACAATCAATTCGGTCCCCAAACAAGTTCAGGCAAGGTTTACAACCCATGTTATCATCTTGAAATGATTTCACAATAGCCAGATCCATTCACAAATTATGCTTTTGCAGGATGATCTGCACTGTTGAAGGTGGTAAACTTTCAAGGTTCACAGGCAGAGATTAATCAAATTCAAAGGTTACCAACTTTGGCCTCAACTTTGACCAAACCAGCATCGAATAATGGTTTTATGGCACAAATGGTTACATATGAAACTTTTGATGCCCCTTCTACACTGCCCTATATCCTAGGGTCTAATCCTAGATTATCTGCTTTAAACCAGATTATATGAGTCTGCGCTGCCAGATAATCCGGGATAAGAAGATTTTATTTATTTATTTCTCGTGTCAGGGCAGCCAGTCAAATATATTACATTTCTAACAGAACAAAGCAAACAAACAGAGAAAATACAAAATGTGTGAGTTTGGTAGTTGATTAAATGTCCTTTGACCAGTATCTGGCCACTTGGAGTGCTTCTGGTGTTGCTGCAAGAAGAATTGTGCATGTGGCAGGGCTCAGGTTGCATTGCAGCAGGTGGAGGATTCCACTTTGTAGCCCCATTTCTTAAGATTGGCTCTGCATCTCATGGTGCCAGAGCGCAGTCTGTTCAGCGCCTTCCAAGTCACCCAGTCCTCTGTGTGCCCAAGCGGGAGTCTCTCATTTGGTATCAGCCATTGGTTGAGGTTCTGGATTTGAGCCTGCCACTTTTGGACTCTCGCTTGCTGAGGTGTTCCAGCGAGTGTCTCTGTAGATCTTAGAAAACTATGTCTGGATTTAAGTCATTGATGTGCTGGCTGATACCCAAACAGGGGATGAGCTGGAGATGTCTCTGCCTTGGTCCTGCCACTTCCCGGCGGATGTCAGGTGGTGCGATACCGGCTAAGCAGTGTAATTTCTCCAGTGGTGTAGGGTGCAGACACCCCGTGATAATGCGGAATGTCTCATTGAGAGCCACATCCACTGTTTTAGTGTGGTAAGATGTGTTCCACACTGGGCATGCATACTCAGCAGCAGAGTAGCACAGCGCAAGGGCAGATGTCTTCACTGTATCTGGTTGTGATCCCCAGGTTGTGCCAGTCAGCTTTCGTATGATATTGTTTCTAGCACCCACTTTTTGTTTGATGTTCAGGCAGTGCTTCTTGTAGGTAAGAGCACGGTCCAGAGTGACTCCCAGGTATTTGGGTGCACTGCAATGCTCCAGTGGGATTCCTTTCCAGGTAATCCTCAGAGCTCAGGATGCTTCCCTGTTCTTGATAAGAAGATAATCTGGGATCAGATCCTGGAATGTAGGATACTGTAAAGCCAGCCAGTTTCTCCAGAGAAAAGGTACTGATTCAGGGCCCTTCCAGGAAGGTCCTATCTCCCAGGTATTTTGCTTTAAACTGGATATGAGTCCACATTCCAAATAATATGGGATAAGAAGATAAACTGGGATCAGATCCTGAAATATAATATTGTGTAGAAGCAGCTAGTTTCTCCAGAGAAAAGGTATTGATTCTGGGCCTTTCCAGACAGGCCCTATATCCCAGATTTTTTTCTTTAAACTGGATTATATGAGTCTGCACTCTCAGATAATCTGGCATAAGAAGATAATCTGGGATCAGATCCTGGAATGTAGGATAGTGTCGAGAAAACCGATTTCTCCAGAGAAAAGGTACTGATTCAGGGCCCTTCCAGACAGGCCCTATCCCCCAGGTGCTTTGCTTTAAACTGTATATGAGTCCACACTGCCAAATAATCTGGGATAAGAAGATAATCCGGGATCGGATCCTGGAATATAATATTGTGTAGAGGCAGCCAGTTTCTCCAGAGAAAAGGTACTGATTCTGGGCCTTTCCAGACAGGACCTATATCCCAGATTTTGTTTGTTTGCTTGCTTTAAATTGGAATATATGAGTCCGCACTGTCAAACAATCTGGGATAAACAGAAAACCTGAGATCTGAGCCTGAGATACAGGGCCTGTCTGGAAGAGCCCTCAGATCCCTTCTACGCTGCCATATATCATCCAGATTTTTTTTTTGTCGTGTCAGGAGTGACCTGAGAAACTGCAAGTCGCTCCTGTTGTGAGAGAATTGGCCGTCTGCAAGGGCGTTGCCCAGAGGACGCCCGGATGATTTGATGTTTTTATCATCCTTGTGGGAGGCTTCTCTCATGTCCCCGCATGAGGAGCTGGAGCTGATAAGAGGGAGCTCATCCGCTTCTCCCCGGATTCGAACCTGTGACCTGTCGGTCTTCAGTCCTGCCGGCACAGAGCTTTAACCCACTGCGCCACCGAGGGCTCCAGATAATCATCCAGATTATCATATCAGATAATTCGCATTATTTGTTTTGAACTGGATTATATGAGTCTACACTGCCATATAATCCAGTTCAAATCAGATAATCCGGATTTTAAATGGCAATGTAGAAGAGGCTTCAAAATTACATCCAGGAGACCCAGAATACTGAAAAAAGTAGTTTTTGTTGCTATTGTTGTTGTTTCCATCGCAGAATCTTCCTCCTCTGCACCCTCCCTTCGCTCTTCACAGTCGCGACTGAAACCCAGTCATTCCTCCACCCACGTGACTTGCTGCTAGGCAACGTCCGATGACCCGCCCCTGATAGGCCATCCGTTGCCACGGCAACCGAGCGTGGAATGTTGAGTTGTATTCCGCAGGAGGAAAGCAGAGCATTCCCATCCCAAGCCTCGCGAAACTACAACCCCCAGAATTCAATAGGACGTTGTTATGTAAATGAGAGAGGAAGTAGTGCCTGCGGATAGAAGGAGTTTGCAGAAGGGAAGAGGAGAGGGAGAGAAAGGCGGTCGGAGGGCCTACCTGGGAGGGCCTCTCTGGGCAGGGCGAGCAGCAGGAGCCACAGGGCGCCTCCGAGGGCCAAGGCCATGCCGCCCAGGCCTCCCCTTTTGCGGGGAAAGGCATGCGGGAGGGAGACCCCCGGGGACAGAGGCAGGCCGCGGCGCTGGGGATTGACTGGAGCTCCGCCCGTGGGCCGCCCACCGACAGCTGCTCAGCTCGGGTTACAAGACGAGGCCCAAGGAAGGGGGGAAAGGGCAGGCGCCGAGGGTGTGGAATTAACCCAGTTTGATACCACTTGAACTGCCAATGCAGACGTTTGTCGTTTGTACCAGCACTCTTTGGCAGAGAAGGCTAAGGACCTTGTAGAACTACAACTCCTACTAGTGCAGGTATGGGCAAACTTGGGCCCTCCCTCCAGGTGTTTTGGACTCCAACTCCCACCATTCCTAACAGCCTCAGGCCCCTTCCTTTTCCCCCTCAGCTTAAGCGGCTGAGGGGGGAAAGGAAAGGGCCTGAGGCTGTTAGGAATGGTGGGAGTTGGAGTCCAAAACACCTGGAGGGAGGGCCCAAGTTTGCCCATGCTTGGTTTACTAGCAAAATTGAATTACTGTGTTGGGCAATGATACACAAAGCGTGTCACTAACATGATACCGATGCCTCAGAGCCACAAACCCACCCTTTAAATCCAGTCCCTTTCTTCGCCCTTCCAGACTGCCCTATATCCCAGAATATCAATATATCCTATATTCTATATCCCAGAATATCAAGGCAGAAAATGTCAACGATTTAAATAAAGAAATAGTTTTCTAAGATCTACAGAGAACACCTCAGCAAGCAAGAGTCCAAAAGTGGCAGGCTCAAACCCAGAACCTCAACCAATGGCTGATACCAAATGAGAGACTTCCCCTGGGCACACAGAAGACTGGGTGATTTGGAAGGCGCTGAACAGACTGCGCTCTGGCACCACAAGATGTAGAGCCAACCTTAAGAAATGGGGCTACAAAGTGGAATCCACGTCATGCGACTGTGGAGAAGAGCAAACTACAGACCACCTCCTACAATGCAACCTGAGCCCTGCCACATGCACAATGGAGGGCCTTCTTGTACCAACACCAGAGGCACTCCAAGTGGTCAGCTACTGGTCAAAGGACATTTAATCAACTACCAAGCTTGCAAACTTTGTGTTTTGTTTGTTTGTTTGTTGGTCTGCTCCTGACATGATAAATAAATTAAGACAGAAAATCCCACATCTGAGTATAATAATAATAATAAAACTTTATTTATACCTGCCACCATCTCCCCAAGGGGACTTGGAGCGGCTTACATGAGGCCAATCCCGACAACACATCAATAAAAGAAAAAGCAATAAGCAAAAACAATACAATTAATATAACTCACATGTAAACAATAACACACAAGGATTTAAAAACCTATGGCCAGGCCAAACGTAATAATTTAAAATTAAAAAAATAAACGCTGGGCATGAACAGAGGAAGGATGTATCTGATAGGAGGGTTTTAAAAGAAATGAAGGGAGAGCAACCCAACGAATAGTTCAAGTGCTTCTGAGGACATTTTGCTGGGGATTATTTCCTTATTCCGGGAAGGCACACTGGAACAGCCACGTTTTCAGGCTCCTCCTAAAGACTGCCAATGTGGGGGCTTGCCTCATATAACCCAGTTCAAAGCGTATATTGTGGGATTTTCTGCCTTGATATTCTGAGATATAGGGCGGTGTAAAAGGACCCCCAGTTTCATGCTAATGAAGAGATTTGAGTTGGAAGGGGCCATGGAGGTCATCTATCGGAGACCCTGGATCCATACAAGGTGCAGATTCTTGATCCACAGCTGTATAATAAAGTAGTGAAGAAAATGTGTCTTCTACAACAAACCATGTAAGTGGGTTGCTGTGGGTTTTCCGAGCTATATGGCCATATTCCAGGAGTGTTCTCACCTGATGTTTCACCCACATCCATGGCAGTCATCCTCGGAGGTTGTGAGGTCTGTTGGAAACTAGGCATGGGAGGTTTACATATTTATTTATTTACTATATTTGTATACCGCCCCTCTCAGCCCGTAGGCAACGTGAGGCAGTTTACATTTGACAATCAATGCCCTACAAGATAAAAATACAGTCAAAACAATTACATATAAAATAACCATGTAAAAACAATACACAATTAACAATTAAAAGCATAAAATACAAATCTCAGCGTCTCATCATTAAAATCATTTTCCATCGCATTGTCTTGTCATTCCATGAGTCTCAGTCAATCAGTTATACTGCGTCTGCAAATGCCTGCTCAAATAGTCAGGTTTTGACTCTCTTTTGAAATGTCAGGAGAGAGGGGGAATCTAATGTCCCTAGGGAGGGTGTTCCATAGCTGAGGGGCCACTGCTGAGAAGGCCCTGTCTCTTGTTCCTGGTGCGAGGAAGGCAGGACAGAGAACAGGGCCTCTCCGCAAGATCTAGATAGTTCATAGGAAGAGATGCGTTCGGACAGGTAAACCGGGCCAGAACTGTTTAGGGCTTTAAAGGCTAAAGCCAGCACTTTGAATTGTGCCCGGTAGCAAACTGGCAGTTGGTGGAGCTGGCGCAACGGAGGAGTTTTGTGCTTCCTGAGTGCTGCTCCTGTTAACAACCTGGCTGCTGTCAGTTGGACCAATTGAAGCTTATTTATTTATTTATTTATTTTACTTCTATACCGCTGTTCTCAGCCCGGAGGCGACTCACAGCGGTTCACAGCACACGGAAACAGCAAAATTCAATGCATCAATATAAAAAACAGTTAACAGTTAGTACACAATTACTATAATAACCATTCACTAGCGCCTCATCACTAAAAAACACGATCCAGATTAGTCATCCATTGTTCCATTCCTATGTCATTACCAATCATTACACTAAATTATTCGAACGCCTGCACAAATAACCAGGTCTTTACTTTCTTGCGGAATACCATTAGAGTTGGTGCTAATCTGATGTCTGTGGGAAGGGCGTTCCACAGCCAGGGAGCCGTGCTTGTGAAGCTGGCGGGATCGAGAGCAGGGCCTCCCCGGAAGATCTCAAAGTCCTGGTGGGTTCATAGGCCGAGATGCGGTCGGATAGGTAGCTTGGGCCGGAACCGTTTAGGGCTTTAAAGGTCAACGCCAGCACTTTGAATTGAGCCCGGTAGCAAATCGGTAGCCAGTGGAGTTGGCGCAACAGGGGGGTTGTATGCTCCCTGCGATCCGCTCCTGTTAAAATCATGGCTGCTGAGCGTTGGACTAGTTGGAGCTTCCGGGCAGTCTTCAGAGGCAGCCCATGTAAAGTGTGTTGCAGTAGTCTATTTGGGATGTAACAAGAGCATGGACCACCATGGCCAAGTCAGACTTCCCAAGGTACGGGCGCAAAGTTGAAATGGGGCTGGAAACATTAATCACCAGGGCCGTAGCCAGAAAAAAATTTCGGGGAGGGTTGACAATTTGGGGGGGGGGGTTGAAAATTTCGGGGGTTGAAAATTTCGGGGGGGGGTTGAAACCTGCCTCCTAGCTCACGCTGAAGCAAAGAGCACAGCAGGGGGCAGAGCAACCTTCAATAGCCTGCATTTCCACCCCTGACAACCACCTCCACCAAGTCTGGCCTCCTTAATGAGTTGCTTGGTTGCTTCACTACATCTGCTATTGCTGCAAGTAATGACAGTGTGAATAAATTGCCAATATTTGCTTTCTTAGTGCTTGCAGTTCTGGAGGGACTCTTAATTTTTTGCATCTCATGACTTAGCATGGGGATTTGCTTAACCAGTTAAAATTCATGAGTAAACCAGGTTTTTTTAAAAAAATCTGAAACATTTCGGGGGGGGTTGAACCCCTAAAACCACCCCCTCGCTACAGGCCTGAAAGAAAGAACTCTTGCCTGGTTGAGGCAACAGTGAATGTTGCAGTTGGTCACCTTGGAGCCCTTCCACACAGCCCTATATACTAGAATATCAAGGCAGAAAATCTCACATTATCTGAGTGTGGATTCAGATAACCCAGTTCAAAGCAGATATTGTGGGATTTTCTGCTTTGATATTCTGGAATATAGGGCTGTGTGGAGCAGCCCTGTATAACATCCAGATAATGTTTTCTGAAAATTAAATATATTGCTAGGGGAACAAGATTTTGTTTTTGCCATGAAATAGGACTGGAAATCCTATAGGCGTCTAAATGTTGTTGAACTGTAATTACCATCAGTCCAAGCCAAGGGCCCTTCCACACAGCCATATAACCCAGAATATCAAGGCAGAAAGTTGCACAATATCTGCTTTGAACTGGGTTATCTGAGTCCACACTGCCATATATTCCAGTTCAAAGCATGGCAAGAATGAGATTCCGTGGTGTAATAGTAAGAGTAATAAGAATACGCTATGCAATTTAGGTTTGTTACACTTGGCATTTTGAGACTCGGGAGAACCCTAAATATCAGTGCAATTCAGGAGCTATTCATAGTTCAGGGATTCCAGACTGATTAGGAGATTAGTTGACGAGTTTATAATTATTCTGGCACCTACACTTAAACAGATTGGCATGGGCTGGTTCCACTTAAAGTGACTACATTTGGAGACTAAATTGAAAGTTCAGAGGGGAATAGCTGTATCATGCATAAAGCTTCATTTAAACTTTGGACTTCAGGATATACAGGGTGGGGAAAATGTGGGATGGGTGGGCTGCAGCTTCTGATGTGTCCCATGGTCATGGTTGAGGACCCTCACTCCCTTTTTAAGCTCAAAATGTCTCTCAGGCCACCCATTTTTATTTTTGTTTTTAATGTTCCCTTTGTTGAGTCTAGGGAGCTCAAATATGGATACAAGAAAGCTGCTTTACTGTAGTTCCTTAAACTATTCTCCCAAGAGACTCCAAAGAGAAGATCTCAACAACAATCCCTTCCTTCCTTCCTTCCTTCCTTCCTTCCTTCCTTCCTTCCTTCCTTCCTTCCTTCCTTCCTTCCTTCCTTCCTTCCTTCCTCCCTCCTTCCCTTCCTTCTGCTAACAGGGACCTCCATTGGCTTTCAGATTCTTTCATATACAGGAGCCTTTCAATTTATGAGAGTCACATTTCATGTTTTGTCAAAGAGTAGTGTGGATCCTTTATGGCAGGGGTGGGAACTTCTAGATTTTGATTTGCAATTCCCACCATTCTTTTCCTCTGGATAAAGTTCA